GTTCAGTGCATCAACGCCAACAACTCTTTTACATTTATATGTGATATGCACTGGCATGTCTAAAAATAAGCAAATCTCCTTTAACGTGACCGACCCTCTATTTCTCTAGATTAGTATTCTCTATGTGCCCGAGGCATTTGAGTATTTGTTTTATTTTGGAAAGATGGGGGATAAAGATTCTAGACATTCCTCTTATTGTATAGGTATGGTGATTTATGTTCTAAGAACCTTTACATGAATGAAGTCTCCCGATGTCCATTCCTAGAGGACTGTGGTATCTTAAGATGCATGCCTCCAGTCCTTATCTGGTTAAGCTATAGGAAACCATTGTTTTTACTCATAAAATCGAGGTTGGACAGATTATTAAATAGTTAAGGGTAGCAGTTAATTTATCCTTGTTTACTGAGAATCCCCATTCCGTTACTTTATAAAAATTAATTTGTTAGCATTATTCTGGACTTCTAATTGTTTTCCAAAGATTAACACATCATTGAGATATACACTTTATAACGAGAGTTCATCTTTTGTTTGCATAGATGTACTTTGTATCTATATTTCTCTTGTGTGCGTTGGAAGCAAGCATTAAAGTTATTTTTTTTTTACCCAATATATATATATATAGGGGTATTAGAGAATTGGAAAGTTAATTTGAGATCAATCCTACATGCAAACCTGGCTGCTGATATTGCAAATGTACAATATTTTCAGCATCTTTCTGAAGTCAGAGATAATTATGAGTAGTCTACTTATTTTATTACGGTTAAAATAACATGACCGGAAAACCCCCCCTAATTATATTTTACTCCCAACACACCCATCTTCACTAAATATTGGTATCGAAATAAAAACAAATCTAGCATAAAAAAGATATGTATATTAAATTTAATTTTCGTAATAGAGAAGTTCCTATGCATCGCCATCCTATATGTTAATATACTCTATAAATATAATTTATAAATTATATATTTTAAAAAGAATAGCCTCCCCTAAATCTGCTGGCTCGATTGAAATTTTTAAAAATGACTAACACAATTATTTTATCCAGAAATCTCATGGATGGAAACAACGTCTTGAACATTTATTAGCCAAAATCTCGAATATTTTTTTTCCGGCTAAAATATTGAGTTAGATGTTTTTTAAAAATGGGCTTAGATCGTGGCGAACATTACCTAAACCCCCTTCCATCAATACGCGTAGCCTGGGTTGCCTACTATAGTTGGTATGATAATATATACATATATATATTGAGTTAAATTAATATTAATTAATAAATATCAATTCTTGCCTAATTTTACCTAAACTAGGCATAAAGGATAGAGTTTGATAGATACTCGTCAGTAAATCAAAGTCAATCAAATACGTATAGCTTACTTCTCTAAAGAAGTCAAACAGTTTAAAACGCGCCGAATTCCCGCTCCGCTAAATTGTATAGAAAGTCAAAGTGTCACTCAATAAATTTTTGATTGGTCCGAATTGTCATATAATCACTCAGTAAGAGTCACTTTGACGAAAATAATTATCTCACGTGAGAGATGGGATGATTGACAATAATTTGTATAGAAATTTTTTTAAAAATTAAATTCAAGGTTTTCTTAGTATAATATAACATTAATTTCTTCCCCCTTCTCTATAGTTTAACCTTATACCAGTCAGTTATATTAAACACATAAATATCGCAATTTAATTAATGGTGGTATAACAGTTTAAAACCGCTAATAAAATAATCTATTCTTTATACATTATTACAATTGTATAAAATACAAAATTATAATATATTTTGGTCCCAAATCTATTTCGTTGCACAATTAAATGCTATTGATTAGGGGAAAAAAAAATTCATTTTTTTTAAATATTACCTTTCTTTTAAGTTAAAACTGTCCCAACTTAATCGTCATGTTAGCCGGTTATCCGGTTAAAACCAAGTTTTAGCTGACAACCGTTGCGCCAACTTGGAAGTTTTTCTCCCTTCCGATTCTGATTTCAATCTCCGTTATATTAAACTCTCTTTACAAATATGTAGCTGACGATTAATAACCCCGCTCTTAAATATAAGAAAATATATAATGTGACAATACGACAAAAAAAAGGATAAATAACACAATTGATTAATATTTTTTAATAGTTATGATTTACAAGAAACAAACTAATTACATTTATTAAAAAAATAATTCTATAAAACGGAGTCGTTTTAAAATCCCCCTCCCACTTTTTTTTGACTAACGAATGATTTATATTTCTAACTTCGAAAAATTAATTTTTAAAAGAAAGCTATCTAGAGTTTTTTTTTAATATAACAAATTACATAATTATTTAATTAACTATAAAAAATATATATAATTTATTTTTTTTACTATTATGATATATATATATCTACTAATTATATTTTATGATTATAATTATTACTCTATATTAATCTCTCTCTTCTCTTATTTTTTTCGAATTTATATTAATGAACGTGATTATAACCACCGATATAGGGGTGGGGAAAAAAAATATCCAATATGATTTGATTAGGAGTGGTCAGTTATTTAATTTTTTTGTTAGTTGATTTTTGTTTTATAATTAAAAATATATAACATTTATTTAATCAAAAATTTTGACGCGTTTAATCATTGTAATTTTTTTTACAAAAAAAAACAAAAGGTTATAACATAATTTATGCTGTTAGATTATATTGTATTGTAACAAATTATTCAGCCTAGTAGAGAGTTTAGATGTAAGTTATTAGATACTTTATTAAAATATACAAATGTTTGAACGAAAATTGTTTTATTATTTTATCCTTTTTAAAACATTAATTATTACTTCATTTAAATTAATCTTTTTACATAAAGAATTCGAGGTTTTCCCGTTTCCAAATCGCTAAAACAAAAATCGGCTAAAAATTGAGAATCTTCCTTATATCTTCCTAGAAATTTTTTTAAAGTAAATTTGAAATTAATATTAATAGATGCTAAGGGGAGTACGTATTTAAGTTGAGAATTTGGGAAATCAAATTGAGAGAAATGGTTATATTTCCACACAATTTTTTAGTAATTTTTCTGATAACTCAACCCTAAATACAAGTGTTTTCAGTTTACTTTGAAAATTTCCTAGGAGATATAAGAGAAATTTCCAATTTTTAGCCATTTTTTTATTTTAATGATATAGAACCCATCCCCAAATTTGTTCAGTGGGCAAATGATTAGCTGTCATTTGCCCGGGAAAATTATATGAATAATTATTGGGTTGTTTAGATTTTAGCGAAATCGGTTATATATATCTTTTTTTGAAAGCTATTCTAATTCAAATTTTTTTAAAATTATTTTCCATTTCGATCACATACCATCCCCTATTCCTATTGGAGCCCTTCCCTTCGAGGCATTTAGTCTGCTAAGATTTTATTCTTTTCTTGGCCATTTAAATTATAATATAATTTATTATTTATTAGTAGAAGTTTGAAAAATAAAAAGAAGAAAAAATGATAGTGAATATCTTTTATTTACATAATTTATTTGAAAAAATATATATAATTAATTAATTATATACTTATTTGTTTAAATAAAATCAAAGGGCTATTACAATACAGTATAAATTCTATGAGCGCAAATAATAATTTTTATACGAAAGAAAATGTCAAAAGATATTCCAGAACGGATAAAAATTAAAGAACAAAAAAATAATTAAAAAAAAGGTTTTCGGTTTCAGGGAAAAAGGTTTAAATCTTCCATTTAATATTTTCAGAGACCTACAGACCCGGCCCTAAACCCGACCCGACCCGCCCGGCCCGACCCGGCCCGACCCGGCTTGACCCGACCCGGCTCGACCCGTTAAATTTCTTAAATATACCCGGGTGGTCTAAAAGAAAAAACCTTTCTGAATATTTTATAAATTGTTTTATTAAATAATATTAACAAATATCAGCAGGTTCTCTCCGAGAACCCAACTTAGAATTTTATGGTCTATATTTTCAAAAAAAATATTATATATAAATTACGAACGCTTAAGCCGGGCTGAGCGGAATTCAAAAAAAATAAAATAAAATAAATTGAAATTTAAGCCCCAGGTCATTTAAAATACGGGGCAAAATGGGTAAAAAAAATATCTTAATCAGGACAAAGGCCTAAAGAGGTTATAAGATGCGATTATTACAAAATTTACACCTTTTAATGGATCGGTTTCAAATAATTTTTATAGATCACTAATTTTTGCCCCTTTAAAAAAGATTTTTTGAACGAAAAGAGGAGGGAGAAAAAAAAATTTAAAAAAAAATAAAAGAGCCAAAGAAAGAAAAGAAATAAAAGAAAGAAACTTGAAAAAAAATATAAATATTAATTTTTTGGAAAACGGGGGTAAATCAATAAATTATCGAACAATATAAATATCAAATATCTTTAATTTCTTTTCACTTTCTTCTCTTAAAATAAATTTATTTCTTCTTTCAAAAAATTATGAAAAATAGTTTAAGTATGTTAAGTAGTTTTCCCATACCTAAATTTAATAATTAAATGAAAAAATGCTTAGATCAATGCCAAATTTATTAATTGTTTTTCTAATCTTTTCTTTTTCCTTTATTTTCCTTGCTTCCTCCTGCAAAAAAAAAAAAATTTTAATAAATCATTTTTCTAATTAATTTAATTTTCTATTTTTGATATTTTAAATTACTATATTTTTTTGCTTTATAAAAATGGCAATTCGCGAAAGGAAAATAATTACGAATATACAATATAAAATGTTATATATATATATAACTTTAATATAATAATAATATCGATAAACTTAATAAACTTTAAATATTATATTTATTTATCATTTAACTAAAAATAAAAATATTTCTATATATATAATAAAAAACACAAAATTTTTCCCAAAATCATCATAAAATTAATATATATTTTTTTTATAACAAAGTTTTATTATTTTAATGATATAATTTTATTTTTTATTAATTAATTCTATCGATTTCAAATATTAAATAATATTAAAATAATATCAAAATAAAATATCTAATTAAGTTTTTTTTCTAATTCAAAGTTGAAATATATGAAATTAACTATTTTTTAAAATTACAAAGCACTATAAAAAATATTATTAATTGAATGCTTTATCTGCATAAATCATAAAACTTCTAAAAACCTCAAAGAATGAATTTTTTATCGGAAAAATAAAGAAAAAACTTTCCTTTTTTTGCCTCTATTTTTTTTGTCGGGAAGTGGGGTGATAGAAATATGTCAATATCCCATACACCTTGGGCTGATAATAATAATAATCGTAAGAACAAAACCGTTATTAAGATCATAATCATAACACACCATAGTAGAACATTATTATTAGTAGAAAAATTGTTTACTGGCACTGACCCGATCGAAACCTCTACCCTGAAGCATCTGTACGAGTCTCACTATCTCATCATTCTCATCAGTCTTCCAGCCCTATCTTCCCACCTCCCAACGTCGTTGCAAAGCACTCGTAGACATCTAAGATCAAAAAGATCACCAATGATCATAATCTCGAGCATTTTGACCTCTAAACTCTCTCCTTATAACAATCGCAATTACCAGTATTCTTCGAGTCTTTTAACCGTAAATTTCTTGAATTTCCTGCTTTGGCATTTATTGACTTTAGTAAATGTAAGCGTATACGAGCAGTATAAATTTATAACCGATATTCCCGATATCAGCGGAGACTCAAGAAATTCTACCATCGTCTCCTCCCATGACAAGGAAGATGATTACGCTATAGAAGAATATTTTCTTTATGATGAATTGGACAAACACGAAGATTACCTGACAGATATCTTCTCAAAGATCCCGCTTAACGTTCCCCATATTCTCAAAATTCCTAAAGTAGTTGTTAATCAAGATCCCAGCAGAGTCAAAGATGGATCGAATAATACTGAATTCCTCGCATCTTTACTCGCTTACAACACATACAAAAGAAAAAGATATAAGAAAGTAGTTTTTCCTAATTTTTACAAGATGCCCCAGGGCAAGATGGGAAATTCTACCTTATATTCTTTTAATAGTAGTACACCTATTTCTTACAGTCATCTTTATACCAAAAAACCGATATCATATTCGAAGCAATTTATTCCGCCACGCTCCACCGCGGTTTACGATAATCATAATCGCGTAAGAAACGTTGGGAGGCGTCAGCATTTACCCGCTAAAAGTAAGGCTACAAAGACAATAAGATCTCACCCGGCCGCTAAACTCACGGTTAAAAAAGCTTTGAACGACAAAGATGAAACTGTCGTTAATATTTCTAACGAAAATATAAAACCGTCATCTGGTTTAATCACTAAAATCCCGAAATCAAAGATCATCCCTCTAGACGCCGTTAAAAATTCTACTACCTTTCCTCCAACGGGAAATAATTTATCGACAAATACGAATAATAACAACCTATCAGCTGTTACTACCCATAAGAATATAACAACCATTTTCAAAAAGAAAACGGATCCAAATTACGTTGGCGGCAGAAATAAATCGTCAAATGTGGCCTCAATGACTGCTCATAGAGAGAACCAATCTGGCCGGTCAGAAGTTGATAAAGTGACCGAGTTTCTCAAGATAGTCGAAGAGTACGAAAACGACGCCCAACACTGTAAGGCGGGTACTACGGTTAACTTAGGCGATGGAGTCATAGACCAATACGGACTCAAGAGATATTACTCTCAGGCGTTAATAGCGGTCAATAGGGCTAACCTGCTGACTAGGTTATGGCGGTACGCTCCCAAGGAAGTTCTAGATAGCGAATTCCTCCTCTACAGCTTAGTGAGATCGATGGTCGAATCCGACGTAAATATTTTCGCCGCGGGAAATTGCTACGATAAATACGAATACAAGGATTATTATTTGTTCTGCCCTTTTTCTCATTATTTGCCGGACGGAAAGCGTATCTTGGTAAAAGATCTGAGCGTGCAATACAAATACATGGGGAACGAATCTGAGTGGTTCCATAGCTCTAAGATGTGGGCCAAAAATTTAAGTCGATTTCAGAAGCTTAAAGGTAATTATAAGTTTTTTATGTATTGTAACTGTTACCCAAACACGAGTTGGAACGCGAGATACAGGTAAGTATCGTTGGAATTGGAGGAGGAGGGGGGTTCGGGGATTGGTTGGTTAACTCTGGGATACCCTATTAGTCATTGAGCACGGTCAATAGTATATTTATTTCTTAAATATTTATTAATTGAATTACTTAAAATTTTTGTTCAAAAGTGAGGGGGGGGGTCACATAATTTTTATCAGCTCTGCTATCGTCAAATGCTAACTGGACACTCCATACGGTGCATCAATCTTATTGCAGGTAGTTTTTGAGTGAGAATCAGATTTCTTTCGCCTATTTATGCATTTCCTCATTTCTTAATTAATTATTGTATATATATATTATATATATTTTTTTTAATTATATTTTTCAATGTGGTTATTGGCTTCACTCTACTATGAACTCTTACCATTCCTCGAAATGCATCTTGATTTGAGAAAAACTCAAAATAGGGATGTTTTTTCTTAGTATAAGTTTGTTTTTTGAAATTAATTATTTTTAAATATAATTTTTCAAAAATTCTGAAAAGATAAAAAAATAAAATAAAAACGCAATAATGAAATATATATAATAATAAAGATACAAATATAAAAAAAATATAATTTGATTTTTCCTTAACTTTTTTTTTTCAATAAAGTATTTTTAGTTAAATAACTGTGGGTTGGGGTTTATATTATTTTTTTGTAAAGGTGATTTCTTATCTAAGATAAATTTATGAAAAATATTATTTTAGTAGAGGGTTTTAAAACTAGTGTTATAGAACGGCTCGTTTTGAATCCAGAAAAAATATAGCGCACGCAAGCCTGAAGAATTTTGTCTTCATAGAAAGAACAAATATCTAGGCAAATATTATCGTTTCAAAGCTTTCTAGCTAAACTATTGAGCTAAGCCGTTTAACAACACTAGGTTGCGTTCAATTATGATTTAAAATATTAAAATTACTTCATCCAGAAAAAAATATTACTCACGACTGAAGATTTTGCCTTCATAGAAGGAACAAAGGTTCTAGATAAGTATTATCGAAATCTAGAAGCTTAAGCAATATATTTTTTTTCTAGCTAATCTGTTTAACAATACTAGTTTTAACGTATTCGCATAACATTGACCTGCGCTCATTCCTTTCTAGACAAAAAAAAACAATATGATTAGTGTCAAAGATTCTTTAAACACACGAGTCAATTGAAGTCATAGCTTTTTAGATTTACTAAACAATAAGGTTGAGAGTTTGGAAAGGATGTGAAAACGTGGAAGGCCAAAACTTTAGCGGGCCCATAAAGTTAGAGCCAATATAAAGAAGTATAAATTAGATAAAAGAGATAGTACGAATAACACAAAATGGAGAGAGGTATTGAAGGAACTTACCACCAGAAAAAGTGAAAGCTAAAGAGAAAAAAAAATTCCTTACGACATAATAGTACTTTCTATAAATGTCGCATAATCAAAAATATTTTATATAATTAATTCAATAATACCCCCGTTTCCAACGGCTAGGGGTTTTATATATATATTTTTTTAAACTTTAAACTTATAATAGATTTTTTAAAATGTTAGTTATCATTTTATTCCTTTTGGCTTTACATTTATAATGATAGACCTGATTGTTTAATTGATAAAAAAAAATTAATTATAGATCATATGATATCCCTTAATAAATTTAAAAAATTTTTTTTATAATTCCAGTTTATAATGACTTTTGAAAAAAATACAATAACATTTAAGGGTAACAAAAAAACAAATTTTCTTTAAATTAAAACGCTAGAAATATTTTTTAAGCATAAAAACAGGATAAAGTTTCAAAAAAAGACCAGGAAATTGTTTGAAAACATATCAAAAAAAATAAGGATGTGATAGTAGAAGTAGAAAAAATTTATAATATTTTCTATTTTAATCTTGTATTAGTGAATCTTTTCTTTCTTTTCCTTCCTTCAAATTATTTCCCAAATATTACGTTTTTTTTATGACTTTGTACAGTATTATAGTTTTTTTTTAAAAAATATGTCTGTTTTAAATCATAAACTTTCCTATGAAAATTGATAACCAAAAAATTGAAAAAAGGATGTCTTTTCTCAATAAGAAACAAACAAAACATGTACTTTTACATACCATTTCATTTTTAGGTGTCTTTACAATCAAATTCCAAAATTAATGTTTATTATAATAAATGATGATGAATAAAAATATAGGAAAAAAAAAATTTTTTTTAAACTTATTTTTTTAAAAACCGCTAACCCAATATTTTAGCCTAATCTGAAGATCATTTTTTAGCGGACCTGGTGTTTTATAATGGCCTTAGACCGAGGTTTGCGGGCTAAATATTTTCAAATTTAAATTTAGCTTATTTAAAACAGTCGCTAATTTCTTCTAATAATGGTAAATTTCAATATCGTAAAACCTAATGTAGTTAAACGGCTCGTTTTTAAGGCGATTTTTTTAAAAAAAACGGCTAACTCAATATTTTATCCAAGATATATATTTATGCTAACCTTAAGATGGTGCTCATGGCACGGCAACAAAGTTTTTGAACGTCTTATTTAAAAATAATATCGAGGTCTAAAACATTAATTTTTTTTAAATTCAGTTATAAATGCGCACGAATTGCGTTTTAACGCAAACGTTTCAAAACGCAAATAAAAAAAAAACAACGTAAACGCTACTATGTTTAAATTTGAACCTTTAATTATTATTATTAATTATTTTTTTTTATATATGAAACAAATAAAAAAAAACGCTGTCCAATTTAAACCCTTTGCGTTTTGAAACGCTGCTTTTGAAACGTTCAATTTGTGCGAACTATTAGCCGCTTTTAAAAAAATCGGCCAAAAATAGGGTATTTCTTTTGATATTAAATATGGGCCAATCAGGCCCGGGGAGAGTTTGATCTAAAAATTAAGGCCCCACAAAGGTTCTCTGGATTCAATGAAATTCACTACGATTTTTATTTGACCACTAACTTGAAAAATAAAAAAAATTTATATTCTTATAACTAAATTTATTGTTTATGAAATGGTTTTTTTTTTGCTGAAAAATTACATATTTTTTTTTTAAAACAAAATATATTTATTACATTTTTTTTATTTTTTATAACCACCATAGAGAAAATAATTAAATTTATATTACTTTTTTTAAAAAAATAAAAATATAAATTTTTATTTTATTTGTGGATGGAAATGAAACCATTAAAAAAAATTATGTAAATGAACTGTTATTTAATTTAATTTATATTATTTTTTTCCCCTTAGCCCCTTCTCCTATAAAAAATATATTAATATTAATATTAAATTTGCGTTAGTTATATATATATACACACAAAAAAAGGTCTGAAAATCTGATTATTTAATTAGAAATTAAAAAATTAAAAAAATGATATACCAAACCATGGGAATGGAAATTATACAAGGGGGGGGGGGGGGTTTAAAATTGAATAATATTTTTTTTTTTGAATAAGAAATTTTATTATCTAAATTATACATTTATAAATATATTTTTTTTGGTTTAATTTTATTTTTACATATTCTGAAAAAGTAAATTTTTTAAAAAATGTGGTTTTATTAATTATATTCGGGAATATAATTAATGATATATATAAAACTACAAAAATAAGAACAAAAGGCCCCGAACCCTAACGTAGAAGATAGCCGAGTACCTATGACGCGAGGGCGGAGATAAGAAATAATAGCGTAGTCAAAATTTTTAGGAAGATACCTCAGGGTTTCTAAACATGCAATTGTTAAGTTATTCATTTTATAATTTAATTATCGTATGGTGGAAAAGGGAGCTCAGATCCATCTTGGAGTGGGGCTAAATGGCACTTGGAGGGGTAGTGTACCGTCTTACCCTCTCTGGGACCCTCGATGCGACTTTCTGAAATTGGGGCTATTTAACCCGGTTTTTTTTTCTCTCACTCCTTCATCCATAGTTATTATATTTTTGATATCAATTTTTTTTATAAAGTTTGATCAGGTGTTTTTATTTTGTAAATGCTACGCTTTGAATGAATGGGTGGTTACAAGAATATATAGTCCAGGCATGGGAAGGGTGAAATTTTACCCCCCCCCCTTCTCATTGCATATTTGCCTGTTCTGTTCTCCTACACATCCCTTACCCCCCCCCCCCTCTCTCCCCCTAAAATGTAATATCATTATAAGAAAGAATTTGAAAGAAAAAAATAGTAAAAGTTTAATATAATTTTTTTAAAATAACGATACTTAAATTCAAAATTTTTTGGGGAAAAATAGAAGCATTTTAATAATATTAAAACAAAATTATTTTTATAAAAAATCTGATATAGCCCAAAGGCCTGGAATTAGTGGACCCTAAATATCTCCAATAAAATTTATGGGGAGTAAAATTTACCTTAGAGTGTTCTCCCAAAAAGCTGTCTCAACTTTTAGAAGAACTAAGAGTACTAATCCTAAAGGGGGGGGGTATACCCTAATACCAGTGTTTAGCAAAAATCCTGGATACGCCTTTGATATAGTCTAATATGTATTATAGTTTGTTTTTTTTATTAATTAACTGATTCCGATCATTGATGTCTAGACCTTTGTGTCAATCTATGAGCAAAACATTTATGGCCTGCGTAATATTATTCTGAATAAAATATTGAGTTTAGCCGTTTTTAAAAATCGTCTCAAAACGAGTTGTTTAACAACACTAAGTGCTAAGTTATTTCCCAAAAATTAAGGTTCCCTAGATTACAAGAAATTTTCTAACAGGAACGCCTTACTTGAGTGAGACTTTTATATGTAATAAAAATGTAAATTACGAATTTAAGGAAATTCAAATCATTTATAAAGATAAATAAATAAGAGGAAATCTTAAAAGTTATTTTTAATTTTTATATATATTAATTACAATTCAGAAAAAATGTAAAACTGGACACTTAAAAACAAATACTATTTTAAATAGATATAGTATAGGTATGTTACAAGTCAATTTGGGTAATTATCTAAGTATACGGT